TCTTTCAGCTCCATCTAAATCTATACGCCCATAGCACTATGATTGAAATGAAATTTACTGAATCTTAAGCTGAAATTAAACTTATTAAACTGAAATCTCTTGATGACAATTTAGAAGAGTCCTGGAGGTACTAATATTTAAATTTTTGGTTGAGAAACACTGGTAGATTTCAAATTGTGCTTCTTCCCCCACCTCTCTTGACATTCATATTACAAATGACAACTTACCTCCAAAGAGGTCCTACTCCAATGTGTTCTGGTGGTGTGGCTGTTACACTGGGTTCTTGATATCTACACCAGCAGAAAGTAAGCTCTGGCAGGTTCTGTCAAGCTAGAGAATCTTTGGATAAATTCCCAGAAATGGACTATGTCTGCTGTCCTAGAATCAGCCTAGCTAAGAGTGGAGACATTGAGCACCAGGGGGATGGTGTTATAGAAACACTCTTCACACGAATGAGTTTTGGACCCAAACCTGACAATTGACTAATAAGTGATGAGTTCTTTGACTGTGGCAACCCACAAAACCAAAAAAATTGAAAATTTCCCATAGTCCCTTGTGATCTCCTTCACCTTCTGCAGTGGTGATGGAAGAATTTCGAGGAAGAAGAAAGGGGTATTATGAATCACAGAGGTTTTAAGCCAGCAATAAATGTTAACTTCATAATTGGTATTTTAAATATGAGGTATTTGTCCAATGAATGGACATCAGTTTTGATATCTTTCATAAATTAAATTAAAAGAGACAAAAAAGTTGCCCCTAAATGGAAAGATGACTCAGTGGTTCTCCTTGGTAATACATATAAAGGAATATGTAGAGTTGGTTTTATCATGCATCCAAAGACAGCAAGAAAAATAATTTCATGGGGCATTTGTTGATCTTGACTGGTAGCACTTACAATGAGCACTAGGAGAAAAGATAACCATGAAGATAAATTACAATTCATGAACCAATATCCACTGTAGAGGATAAAGAAGCAGAGAAATTCTAAGAAGAACTAGATAAAACCTTCAAATTAAATCAACATCTATTTTAATACTTGGTGATTTCAAAGCAAAGGGTGGGGTATAAGGGAGAATGACAAAATATATTTTGAAAAATACAGTTCAAAATCAAGAAACAAAAAAGGACAAAAGATTATAGGCTACACAGAAACCTCACACATATTTCATCAACCAACCATCAATCAATAAGTATTTATTAAATCCTTACTATATACCTGAGTTCAAATCTGGCCTCAGACACTTACTAGCTCTGTGATCCTGAGCAAGTCACTTAACTCTGTTTGTCTTAGTTTCCTCATCTATAAAATGAGCTGGAGAAGGAAATTGTATCTTTTGCCAAGGAAACCTCATATGGAGGTAAGGAAGAGTTGGACACGAGTGAAAAACGATTAAAAATGATTAAAACATATGCCGATCACAACATTTGCCAAACATATGCCAAACACTGTACTATGCTCTGGGGATACAAAGAAAAAGCAAAAACAGTCCCTGAACTCAAGGAGCTTGCATTCAAATGAGAGAGACACCTGTAATAAACCATAACATGCAAAATTTATACAGAGTAAATGGGAGTTAGCTTAGCCAGAGAAGGCACTAGCAGCAGGAATTGGTAAAGGCCTCCTGGAGGAAGTGACATGAGATGCTTTAAAGGAAACCAGGAGTTCTAAGACTCAGCAGTTAGGAGGGAAAGTAAATATATTTTCCTTAGGAGAGTACAACATAGGTGGAGTGCGGCCATTTCTATGACTCCTATCTTTTCTACGTCCCATGATGGCTTCACATTGTACTAAGGCTAAGGTTTACTACATGTTTTAAGGTATGCTTCAAAGTCCATGCATTGTGGTACCTTGGGCTACCTCTCTCTTTCCCTGTCTTCTTCATCCCAGTCCACCTTAATTTGCCAGCACTCCCAGACACCACGAATGACTATGGAAAAGAGTTAGAATAAAAGTAATAATAATAATAATAATAATAATAATAATAAGCATTTCTATGGAGGACTTTATGGTTAGCAAAGTGCTTTATGTATGTTCTCTCATTTTGTCATAAGGTTCTGATCTTGGTGACCACTGAATAATAGCACAAGAAATGAAATTGATGATGTCTTAACAGACAGGAAATGGCTGGCTGCCAATATAGGAGTCATTTCTGAACCAGTCATCTGAGTAAAGTGAGACTACTTATTAGAACAAAGATAAAAATCAGCACCAAATTAGAAGAATAAAGACAAGATATCATGTGAAGTTAAAATAACTCTAATTTAACCTGTTTAATTAAGTTATTGAAACACATCACATACAGTTATGGGATAATGTACACATGAATTTAGAGCATCATTGATGAGACCATTAGAAAGTATTAGCCTTTTGCAAGTGATATTCTGCAATGTACCATATCTTTACAATCATAAAGTTGATTAAAAGTTGTAGAGAATGAAAGAGATTACTGTACTTTGTTGTCATAAAAAGTTTTACTTGGAAAAGCATCACCTTAATGTTTTTCTCCAAACAAGGTGTCTCTCATGCTTTTGTCAAAATTATCTTAGATTCCTTGAAAGATATATCAGTATATCTATACTATTTCATGCGATGGTCTCATTAGCTCCTATGGATTCAATTATCATCTCGGTGTCAATGAGTCTCAAATCTACTTATCCAGTCCTAATGTCTCTCCTAACTTGCAGTCTCCCACCTCCAACTGTCTATTCTACATCTGAAACTAGATGTCCTATAGACATATAAACATGATCAAAACTGAATTTATCTTTACCCCTAAATCCTCCCCTATTTCTAACTTCTCTGTTAACTGTTGAGGAACCACCATCTTTCCCAGTGACCCAGGTATACAATGTAGGTGACATTGTCAACTCCTCACTCTCTGTCACCTCCCATATTCAATCAGTTGCCAAGGCTTGTCAATTTTTCCTTCTTAACATCTCTCATATATTCCCCTTTCTCTCCTCTGACACTGCCACCACCCTGCAGTAGCTTGTTGGGAGTGACAGAGAGTGAGGAGTTGCCAAGCTACCCTTCGACTATTGCAATAGATTGTTGGTTGGTCTCCTGACTTCTCCCCATTCCAGTCTATCCTCCACTTACCTGTGGATCTTCCTAAAGCAAAGGTCTGACCATGCCACAAAATCCTCCTCACTCAATAAAGTCCAGTGACTCGCCTTTGCCTCCAGAATTAAAAGTAAAATCTTATTTGTTGTTCAAAGTATTTTATAATCTCTCACCCCTTTCTCCCCCAGCACCTTTCCAAACTTCCTACACCTTATCTTTCTCCTCTCAGTGGCACTGGCCTCCTTGCTGTTCCTCCTGAAAGGCACTCCATCTCTCAACTCCCATCATTTACATTGATTATCCTCTATTCCTGGAATTCTCTCCCTCATCATCTCCACTTCCTGGCTTTCTTTAAGTTCTAGCTAAAACCTTATCTTCTACAAGGAATCTTTCTTGAATCCCCTTAATTCTAGTGCCTTCTCTTTGTTGATCATAATTTATCCTATATCTCTATCCATCTGCATGTCTATCTGTCTGTCTGTCTATCTATCTATCTACCTATCTATCTGATAGAAACTGCAAAGGGATAATGAATTGGGCGCAGAATTGGCCCATCCTTTAATCCAACCAAGCTTTTCCATGAAATTTTAGTACCAATTTTCTTCCAGTTTTACATGTCACGAAATACTGAAGACTTTGAAAAAATTGAAATTGAGGATTATTGAAAAAGCAACAAAGAGGTGCCTGGTAGATGTGGTGTGAGTTACCTGCATTACATTATCGATGAGGAATTATATAGGGGAAGTTTCATATACACATAGCTGTAGATATCTATATTTATTTCTATCTATCTAGAGAGAGATAAGGAGAGTCATCAAAGAAATGTGTAAGAAACAAAAAAGTTGTGCTGCTCATATGTGAGCATGAGGGATAAACCCTTGTGTGTCAGGGATGTCCTAGCAATGTAAAAAGAAAGTGAAGGCCCTTGGCACACTAGGTGGCAAGCTTATAGGGACAAGATTTAATTTTCTCGGTGTAGAACTTTAGACTTTAGAGAAATGAAATTATTTGTCCAAGGATTTAACCTCAGGTTTTCTGTCTTAAGACCCAGTTTTCAATTCAACAGGACAGAAAGTATGGATTAGGTGAGGGACCCCTGAAAGGGGCAATCAACTAGTAGCCCCTGTACAAAGACCCCTCTTCCTCGAGCCCCAACTTTACCCAACACCATTGCTGCAAGTCTATCTTAGCCTATGTTATATGGAGCATCATATTATCTGAGGCAGGAAAGAGATAATATCTTTCAAGGCCATTAGGATAGAGTTGGTATGTTTTGGGGCCCCTATGATTGTCTTGATTATGTATACTTCAAGTTGGGAGGCAAATGGGATAAGGGAAGGAAAAAAGATTTGAATGTTCCCAGAGAAGCTCAAAATACTTTTTATAGAGATTATTTATTTATCTAGAATAGATTATCATCATTTTTTGACATTTTTGAGAAGCAGCCGCTAGAGAACAGATACATTCATCTCCAATAGACAGGAAAAGAGAGGAAATACTGAACGACACAGAGCTTTGGCCAGGTTTATAAAGCAAATTCAGTAGATGGTCATCAAAACTAGCTGTCTCAACTCCTAGTCTGAGACTCTCGGGTGCCTCCATCATTTTCGATCCCATAGTCCCAAATCACTGCTGGCCCAATCCTGAATTGTACCAGAATGGTTGCTAGTGGTGGTGGGATTTGAGGGTGCAATTCCAAGCAATAATGAGGATTAACTTGAACACTTGCACCTACTGGGATGGAGTCAGGCTTTTGGCTGCTTGAATCTGGCCAGGACTCGAGGTTTTAACAGGACCTGCCTGGGTGGCCTTTCTGGATTTGAGCTAATCCGTTATGACCCCAGGGGTAGGCTAGTGTCTCTGTGCATTCTTCCCGGTTGTTAAGAATCTGCCCAACCTCCCAGAATTCCGTAGCTTCAAAATCCTCTAGCTCCATCCCAGTGCTCCTGCCCCAGATGCAAAGCAGTTAGTTCTCAAGCTTTGTAACCACAGATCTATTTCAAAAGGGCCATAGGGCCAAACACCCCACCCTTTCCAGTCCATGGGCACTGTTTATGGTTACTGTGGTTACTAAAGCAGAGGCAGCGGTGGAAGGGGAGGGAGGCTTCAAAGGATCTCAGTAAAAGCAATCAGCAAGGATGTTCACTGCATTTGACATGTTCCCCAATAAACCATGTCCTGAAACGAAGGACTTCTTGCTACCTACTTCCCAGTAAAGATTCAGGAGGCGCTGAAGTTTCAGTCTGAGTCTGAGAACTGGTAAAAGTCCCTTGTGTTAGTTTTCTCAGTGATATTCTGTTTTCCTCCCCTCATTTCCTTCTTGTTCCCTTCCCTTCACCCCAAAGATTTCTTTTAGTCTTGCTTTGTGGTAAGGGGCTTGTTCATTTTCAAGTTGTTATTTTTTTAAACTGACATGTTGGAAATTGAATTTTGAAGTAACTTGATATGTTGCCAGTATCCATAACCATATTTATCTCTTAATTACTCATATCCCTCCCTTGCCTTCAACAATTCTATTCCTTGTAGCCTCTAAAGAAACATCCAAAGTATTTTCATGGACAAACTACTCCTATAACTATGAATTGCTAAAACCAGATATCAATGAAATGAAATTATGTGGAACAAAATCAAAATTCTAATTCCCTTCTATATATTTGTAGTCAGTGAAAGAATAAGAAGGGGAGGGCAGAAGAATTTATTAAGTTCTTAAGATGTGCCAGGTACTGTGCTAAAGCTTTGCAAATATTCTCATTTGATTAATGAGCTAGTTAGAATGGGTTTGTCATTACGTAGAACTGGAGGTTTATATTGGGCTTTTTGTTTGTCTATTGGGCTTTAGTTAGCAAAAGTGGGGGAAGGAGAAAGAATATGTAAACTGAGAATTTTTCGTTTCCTTACATGCCAGCCCAGGAATATGTTTTGCTGGAGTTTGCACACCAACCCAAAGTTGTAGATTTGAGATCCTCTCTGAGGCTAACTCTAGCTTTAAGGAATCATTTCTCTAATATGCATTTATTTTCCTAAACATGGCTGTTTTCTTCCTGCTCCCAAACCCCAGGCCAGTTTCAGGTAACTTTTTCCCCCTTACCTGAGGATTTAAAAAAAAATATTGAAAAATATAGTTCATCATGTACATAGATAAAAATCTGGGCCCAAAAATTTAATTGGAGGAAGAAAGTGAGTTAGAGTATATTTTGGAAACTGTACTTTACTTTCAAGGATCCTAAATTGTTTCCTGTTGCCAAAACCCATCTTTAAAATGCTAATGTTTTGGAGCAGCTAGGTGGTGCAGTGGATAGAGTACCGGCCATGGATTCAGGAGGACCTGAGTTCAAATGTGACTTCAGACACATAACACTTACTAGCTGTGTGACCCTGGGCAAGTCACTTAACCCCACTGCCTAGCCAAAAAAAAAAATGCTAATGTTTTCCCAGTGCTACTATCTGCCTGTGAATCATGGAACACCATGATCTCCAAAGAACCAAAATTACAGGTGACTCAGTGAAATGGAAATCATGGTGGTTCTAAGCAGATTGCAGCACATTACTAACAATGATTGATTCATAAGAAGTGATGAAAAAGATATCACTGATGATATGTGTGACCAGAAAAGGAGGTGGGCTGGTCATTTATCAAGTGAGGGGAAACAGATGGAGAATTCTTGTATTGAATTTCCATCCACAATATATTGAAAGACTTGCAGGAAGACCTCTGATCCTATAAAAGGATGATATCATCAAAGAGATGTTGGGTGAATCTTCTATGGAGGATTTATGGAAATCTCAGAGGGTGGGAGGGTTGAATAGGTTGCAATTCACACCAGTGCTGGGAACAGCCACCCAATATCCATAATATCATGGCTCCATTGAATCACAGAAGTATATAAATTTTTACTGCTGTGTGATTAAATAGACCCATGTTATATAATACCAACAATAGTAACTAAAAATGTATGGGAAATTTTTGTTACTAGAATTGAGCAATAATAATAATAATAACAATAATAATAATAATAAGTAGCATTTTAAAGCACTTTAAGGTTTGCAAAACACTATACATATGTTATCTCATTGAGTTTTCACAATGACCCAGTGAGATGGGTGCTATTATTGTCCCCATTTTACAGATGAAAAAACTGAGACTGAGAGAAGTTAAGAAACTTGACCATTATTATTATTATGGGAATTAGGTAAATGGTCAGAGAACAGTGTTGGATTGATACAGAAAAAAAAGATTGAAATTTATCTTGGATAATTGGATTGATGGTAGCAAGAATGAAAGTTTCAAAAAACTATTTTGTCACTTGAAAAATTGTAAGATAGAAAATGAAGTCATTTCAGAAATTTTCATAAAGTAGTTACCTAGAAAGTCTTCTGGTTAGTAGAAAACACAATTAGTGTAGTGTTTTGATGATTGCAAAGCACTGGAGTCATAGACAACATAGACATAGACAATAATATCCCAATATTAATAATGGAGCAGGTTATTCTATAGAGTTACAATAGGAACAATAGGATTTTAGAACAGGAAGGATCTTAGAGATTATCTATTCCAATATTCCTCATTTTGTAACTGAGGAAAATCAGCCTAAATGAGATTGAGGCTTGTCCAAGATCACATAGCTAGTAACAATGAACCCAGATATTGAATGAAGACATTGAACCCAGGTCTTCTGACCCCAAAGTCTAATGCTCTTTAATATCCTATACTTTGAAGATCTGCCACTTTGTTAGTGTGGGGAGTCCTTTTTACCAATGCAGAGCTCAGCATTCGATACTCTTCTTCTCTATCTTTTACTTCCCTTGGTGAACTCTGATTTTGAATACTGCAGTCCAATTAAGTTGTCTTTATGTTTATTGTGTGGTGGAAATAAAATGAGCACAACTCGGTGCTTAAAAATGCTTATGGACTTGCTGACACTATTAGAAATCAAATATTCGAAGAGTTAGAAACCCATGAGTTAGACTCTTAAAGAAAATTGATGAAGAAAAGTTTTGAGAAAGGTAAATGAGAATTTTTGTTGGGAGTGACAAAGTCAGAGGAAGAAAGAAAGGATATAAGAAGGCTCGACATGGGAAGAAGTCAAAGATCATAGTGAAGGAGTGACATTGTGAGATATGGAGATGAGAGGGATAGAAAGGAGAGAATGAAATGTTGAAAAGCTCATTAATACAAGCTCTGTGCTAGGGAGGGTAAGAACTGAGGAAATCTCCTCCTGTGACCGACTTCAGATTGGGCTGCACTTAAGTTTCTGTCCCTTTGTAAGAGTTGATAAAAGGTAGATGCCATAATGGCAGCTTGGGCACATAATGGATGGAGCAGAGGATCTGAACTCCAGAGGGCCAAGTTCAAATTCTCCTTCAGACACTTATTAGCTGTACAACTCTGGGCAAGTCACTTCACCTCTGTTTGTGTCAGGTTTCTCATTGTAAAATGGCGGTAATAACAACACTTACCTCTCAGGGTTGTTGTGAGGATCAAATCAGATAAGATGTGTAAAGCATTTTGCAAACCTTAAAGTGCCATATAAATGCTATTATCATTATAATGTCTTTTCTAAGCTTTCTAAATATTATCACAGAATCAAAGAATTATAGAACAGGAAGGGACCTGAGCTATCAGTTATATCCAACCTCTTCCCCAGTGCAAGAATTCCCTCCACAGCACCAGTGACAAAATTGTGAATAGAAAAATTCTTGGAGAAACAACCCAGCAGATGGCTGTACTGTTCCTGTAATAACAAGTAAATCTAAAAAGCAGCCAAGGATAGGAAATAACTGTAATTCTCTAACAGCAGGGAGGAGCATTTAAAATGGGACTTGAAAGAGAGTAGGACGTAACACCTTCTGAGACACCAAACAATGGACAACATTTTAAACATTTACACATAATCCTGTCTCTGTCCCCACCCCCAATGGATGATTAAAGTCAAATCTTTTCGATTGTTAAAATGGCTATTGTTGGCACTAGGACTTGGTCGTTTTGCTTGTAGAGATTTGTTCTCTGACATTTTTTTTCTTCTCTGTTTTTCTCTGCTTTTTATCTGAATGTCAATCTGAATGTCAATGCCAGAAGAAAGCTTCTCTCGATTTTAGAAATATTAGAGGCAGCCTATTGGTGCCACCCGAGATAGTAATCCTGTCGCTGTTGTTTTTTTAATCAGCAATTGGGCAGATGCAGCTCTGATTGTGGAAACTGAAATCCTCTTCAGCATCAGTGATGTCTAAGGACCCCGTAACCAAGTTGGCTGGCACATTCCCCCAAAGCAAACTACCCCTTCCTAATAAGAATTCAGGAAAAGTTATGTTCCCTTTGTCCTTGAGTATGAATGAAAGTGTGCCCAACACCTTCACTGAGCAGCTGGCACCCTTATGTTACTCAACAAACTGTGACTTGGCAGTGAGGAACACGGTTCCAGAGGAGGAAGCAAAGCCAAGTCAAGATTCTGATGATGACCAGCAATCGAACATTTTGGCCAACTCAGTCTTACTCTTTCCTTTAATGACATGCAGCAGAAATCCAACTGGGTACCTTCAGGCCACAAAAGTAAGTGGCCCTTCAGAGACACTGCCTTCTGCTCCCCAAGTAAGTAGTCAACAGCAGCCTCTATATTTAGATAAGAGAAATGACTATATGATGATAAAAGAAAAAGGACCTTAGAAATCTGAGAGTGTTGAACTATGGGAAATCCAGAGACTGCTCTAGCACTGAGTGCAAGCAGTCATGTAGCTCCCTTTTCTAGCCGTTTCTGTGCCAGACAGAATTGACTTAGCTGGGGGGAAAATTGCTGCTTGATCTCTTTCTTCATACATTCCACATAAAAAACATAGATCCAGGGTTAACTTTAACCTTCTTGAATAAATCAGAGTGAAATAAAATTCAGTGGTGTCTGGACCCCTTTTCTCTTTCCACTAGTAATTTTTTATTGAGAAAAAAGATTTTGAAATGGCTTTTTATCTTCCATGTCCTTCAGCTTGATTTGAGGCCTCTCGTCTTCTGATGGGTTGGGAAGCTATTTTATGTTTTCTTGTTCTTACAAAGTCTGGTCCTTGTTTATCCTCTGACCACTCAGTGTATAACTTCAAACCATCCCTCAGGGATTCTCAGGACCCTCTTCTAAGTAACTGACTTTGGCCAACTCTTTGGCAGCTTTTTCAGAAGCTTTCATTGCAGGATGTTTTTAGAAGCTATCTCAAGGTGCAAGCTCTGTTATCGAGGTGACAACAAAGTGATGCTGACAGGGGGCTAAATGTTGGCATAGGATCATAGCCTTCCTTCATCTTCTTGTGTCCAGTCTTTTCTCATGCTCCTTTCCTTATGCTTTTTTGAAACTTCCTGGTTGGGGAAATCTTGCCGAGAAAATCCCTATCCATGCTGACATTTCTAGCATAGCCTCCCTGTCAACAGAGGTTCCTTGGAGTGTGAGAGTAGAAGACACATCATACTCATTAACTGCTATGGGAAACATGGGGCAAAAGAGGAAGATGAGATGTGAGGAAGACAAAAAAAAATAAAGAAAAAAACCCCCCAAAACCAAAAACCAAAACACAGCAGGCAAAGCCAGAAGGGAGAAAGGTGCTAATCCAATAGAGAAACTAGAAATGTGGGGCTAGAGCTTCAGTATCATGTAATTAAGTAATTACATTAAGTAATGGCTTCTTTTTGGACTCGGGTGAGTTGTGACTGGAAGGCAGTTTGGCGGTGGGATGGTGGAGAAAGAGGAGTGACGGTGGCTGGGGAATTTATTTTATTTTTTAATAAAAAACTTTTCTTGGTGTTTTTTTAGTTTTGGATATATTCTACATCTGTCCCTCAACAAAGATTCTTCCCTTGCAACAAAGAGAAACAGCTAAGCAACACCAACCAACTCAGTGACTACATTTAATAGTATATCTGCCATTCCATACCCATAGTCCCCTGCCCCCCTTTCCTAAAAGGAAGGAGATACATTTCCTCAATTCTTCTCCAGAGCCAGACTTGGTTATTACTATTATTCAGTGTTCAGTTTCATTTCATTTCAACAAACATTTATTAGGCACCTACTATATACAAGATACTGTGCCAGGGACTGAAGAACTATGTTTTTTTTTAAAATTTATTTTTGTTGATATGACTAAATCATCTTCATTTATGAATACATACTTCCCCCTTTATACTGTGAGACTTCCTTTGGTACAAGAATTTTTTTTTAAAAAACATAAAAAAAAGGTAATTTAGAAAGTCAAAAATGGTTGGGGAATTTCAAGCCCTTCTTTCACTGGAGAGAAAGTAGTTAAATGAAATTGGACCATGTTGACTCAGAGGAAGGAGGGGGTTCATTAAGCAGTACAGGTGGCTTGAGATACAGCCAAGGAGGAAGAAAGACTACTTTGAGGAAGAAAAGAGATGGGCATTTGTGACAAAATGGTAGAGAGAGATATTCCCCAACCAATTAAAAGAGAAAGAAACAGAGATGCCTTTTTCAATTTTCATATGTCCTTTTATTTTCTTTGTCATACAACTACTAAGTCCCAAATTCTTTCCCCTCAAATTTAATTATTTTTTCTGATTAATAAGCATTCATTTCTCTCTCCATCCCACTTCCCTCCCCCATTGAATAATAAAAAAAGGAAAAGAAAACCCTCTCAACAAATATGTATAATAAAATAAAACAAATTCCTATATTGTCTGTATCCAAAAATGTGTGTGTCATTCTTCATTTTAAGCCCATCACCTCTCTGGTAAGAGGTGGGTAGCATATACCATGGTGTGTTTAGCCACAAACAAACTGTGGTTTAATTTAGCTTAACTGCCCCACCTTTATGTTGAAAAGCATGGCAATAGAATCCTTTTCACAATGCTGTTGTCAGAAGACAAAGGTAACGTGAATGGGAGGGTAGTAGAAAGACCATTAACCAGGAGCTGGCTAACCAGAGTCCTAGCTCTGACTTTGGGTAACATGTGACTTTAGGTAAATCATTGCACTTCTCTGAATGGCAGTTTCCTAAACTGTAAAATGACAATCAAAATAGATAATTGTAAAATTAATTAGTTAACAATCAGCAAGCATTGATCAAGTGCTTACTATAAACTAGGCCAAGCAGATACAAAGAAAAAGTAATTGTTTTTCCTTAAGCTGTATACATTCTATTGGGACAGAAAACATGTACATATATAGGTACATTCAGGATATATATATATATATGTGTGTGTGTATATGTATATATGTATATAATCCAAAAAAATACAAGATAGATACATAGGTAATTAGAGAATGAGAGCATCAGCAGTTGGTATCAAGAAAGGCATCATGGGGCAGCTAGGTGGCAGATAGAGCACCGGCCCTGGAGTCAGGAGGACCTGAGTTCAAATCCGGCCTCAGAGACTTAACACTTACTACCTGTGTGACCCTGAGCAAGTCACTTAACCTCAATTGCCTTACCAAAAAAAAAAAAAGAAAAAAAGAAAGGCATTATGTAAAAGGTGGTGCTTGAGTTGGGCGCAGAAAGAGGAGAGGGATTCTATGGGGTGGAGGCAAAGAGGGAGTTCTTGACTGGCATGTATGATGTCGAATGCAAAGGTACAGAGATGGCAGATGAAGTGTCCCATATAAAGAACAGTGAAGAGGCCAATTTGGATAGATGCTAGAGTCCAGGAAGGGGAGTAATGAGTCTGGAAAGATAGGTTGGGGTTAGTTTGTGAAGGGCTTTAAAAGTCAGACGTAGAATCTTTATCATAGAGGCAACAGGGAGCCACTGGAGTTTGGTTGATTATTGTCTTTGATTCTTGAGGAGGACCAAAAATGCTATCACCACGCGGGGATCAAGGTACAATGTGTCCGACTGTGGCTTGACAAAGGTCATCTCTGTTTCTTTCTCTTTTAATTGAACATTTGGAGTGGAGATATCTCTAAATTTGTACATCTCACATTTCTGAATGGGGGAATGAAATGGTCAGATTTGCACTAAAGGAAATAAAAAGCACTTTAGTTGGTATCTGTGAATGACTTGCAGTGTGGCCAAAGCTATATGGGCGAGGACAGTAGTATCGTGGCATCATCGGCATGATGTGTATATATCGTTTTGGTTTTCAGATTCCAGGAGCACAGGAACAGGTGTTGAAGCAGCAAATGGAGCAGCTACAAAGATTGGTGGCAGAACAGCAGAGGATTATCACACTGTCCCACTCAGGTAGTATCCTGGTGGCAGCTTAGTGAATGGTGCTTCTGTCCTGTGACAGCCAATGTGATTTATTTTGAAAGAAAATCTGTTGATTTTAGGTTAAAACTTTTTGTGAGCGTTTTAAAGGTGACGACTCCTTATTGTGCTGCTAATGTAGCTATTGGATGGTCAGGTAGTAAAGTGGATAGAGTGCCAGAAATGGAGTCAGGAAGAGTCATCTTTCTGAGTTCAAATCTGACCTCAGACACTGGCTATGTGACCCTGGACAAGTCATTTAATCCTGTTTGCCTCAGTTTCCTCATCTGTAAAATGAGCTGGAGAAGGAAATGGCAAACCACTCAATTATCTCTTCCAAGAAAATCCCAAATGGGGTTTCAACGAATCGGACCAACTGAAAACGATTGAACAATAAATGTAGCCACATTCTGAACCAGGCTTTTTCTCTGGCTGGCTTTTTGTGTTAGATTTAGGGGGAGTCACCAAACTTCGATAGCTATGTCAAAGAGAGTCCTCATAGGCGTTTGACGTCTCATGATTTTGTTTAGCTAATGATGTCTTATTAGGAAAATTCCATGAGCTATAAAGGATTTTAGAAGGCAGTTGTATTAACACCGAGTTCTTCAGTGGTCCACAGTGGGGGTCTGTGCTTGTTCCTCTGCTAGTTAATAGTATTATTAATCAAAGCCTTATATAGTGGTATCAGTGTCAAATTTGCATATGACACAAAACTGGGGCATATAGCTAACAAATTGTATGACAGAGCTGGGAATCTCCCCCACCCCCTCAAGACTTCACAGGCTTAGAACATCGGGTCAAATTTAATAAGAAGAAATAATTTAATAGGGATGAAGATAAAGTCTGACACTGGGTTAAAAAAAATTAACTTCTTGTGTGATGTATGTATGTGAGGGGAAAGTCCAGCATGTCTAGATAACTCTTAATTTTACAAGGATCTTCAAGCTCAATATGAGTCAAAAATTTGTGACACGGCAGCTAAGAAAGTTAATATGATCTCAGACTGAATTAAAGGAAGGACATTAATGGAACAACTTTCAGGAATAAGGAGCTGATGGTTCTTCTGTAATCTGCTCTAATCAAGACCACATCAGGAATATAATGTTCAGTTCTGGTATTCAGTTCAGAAAAGGCAATGATAAGTTGGAGAATCTCTGGAGGAAGGAAAGAGGATAGTCAAGTTCCTTGAATTAATCAATAAGAAGATCAGTTGATGGAAGTAGGGATTAGCCTTGAGAAGCTTCCAGAGGAAGATGCCAGTTTTCAGGTATTTGAAGGGCTGTAAGGAAAGAGGGGATAAACTTATTTTGCTTGGTCCCAGAAGGCAAAACAATGGGTAGGAGCTGCAAAAGAGACAAACTGATGAAATATAAGGAACAACTTCCTATTACAGTTATCAAAAAGTAGACTGGGCTTCCTGGGGAAGTTGTAGGTTCCTCCTCATTGGAAGACTTCAAGCAAAGCCTGGAAGACTATTTGTATGGTGTGATACAGACAGAATTCTTTTTTTAGGTATAGTTTGGACTATACTATCACTGAGCTAGCTGCAGATGCTTGTATGAAACTCCTTGTAACAGTGTTTCTAGTTCTTCAAACTGTTTAACCTCAAGCAAAAGATGAACTTGGTTGGGTTGGCTGGGATACAGAGATTAAAAACAATGAGACTGAAGAATGTAACAAGCATGGATAAGCCATCCATGTGTATATTGATCAGAGCTCAGGGCAACGTGTATGTGGAATGTTCCTCAATTGCTAAGCCGTTGCACAGAAAACGGATTGCTGATAAAATGATTCCAGCTGCTCATGTACGTTTTCCAACTCCCTACAATCTCTTCACTGATTCTGCCACAGCAACACAACTGCTGATTCCCATTCAACGATGAAGGAGGATTGAGTTTCTCTTCACTTGAATACATAGATACTTGGAGACACTGAGGTCTCTTCAAACTCTGAGCTGATTCTGTGAGTTCTGGGCTCCATCTTTTAGGAAGGAAGGGGACAAAGTGAAGCAAGTTAAGAGAAAAGCCACGAGAGTGAGGGCTACTTGAAATGATGTCACATGATGGTTGTTTGAAGAAACTGAGGGGGTGTTTTACTGGGAGGGATGTGGCTGTTGTCTGCAAAGGTTGGAAGGATTATAACAGTGTTAGGGTGAATGTCTCACGGTCTCATGAGAGCTCTGTTGAGGGAACTTTCCCATGGGAGTTCTAGCTTCTATCAGTAGAAGCTGAGGGTCACAACATAGTTGCGTGGCAAAAATAAGGAAGTCTCCCAGGACCTCTCCTTTGCTGACATGCAGCTCCCACTGTTGGTTTGGCTCTCCTCTCAATGGGAGATGAGTCCTGACACGAGCTCCAGCAGACCTGATGATTGGCTATCACAGGGGGATCACGCTTTGAACATGCATCACTAGGGCCATAAAAGACAGCTAACTGCACTCAATAAACGGAGCTTCTGCCACCTTGCTGTCTCCCGCCTCATCCATGTGTCTCCGGGTTACTGAGCACTGAGCTGGTCTCATGCTCATCACTGCAGCGGCCGCGTCATAACAGATGGATTAGACTTGCTGTTTTGGCTTCAGAAGGGACTACTAGAATCAGGAAATAGAAGTTATGGACAGACAGGTTTCAGCCCAACATATCAGATAATTTCCTCACAATTAGAAGTGCCCCTAAATAGAATGGACTATATCATAAAGTAGTGAGTTCTCTATCATTGAAAGTGTTAAAGTCAAGGCAGGAAGACTATTTGTTGTGGATGGTATAGAGAGGATTCATTTGATGGGCAGGACTACATGTTTGCTAAATCCCACCCAACTTTAGGGTCCTGTGATGGTACAGAACATTGAAAATTCTTGGACACATTCCTAGAGACCTACATGATATACATTGATCACTCTGCTCTTTAAATTAATTTTTCAAAAATCCTTTTGCTGTTTTGAATAATTAGAATACATTATGGTAATGATAAGGGGAAAAGAAAACTTTGAAGAGATAGGGAACATACTTCATGAAGGAATTTATTTTCAGCCTCCTGTATGGTAACTTCTTCAAGGCATAGTTCAATTCGGTTCATAAGAACCAAAGATTGAGGACAGCAGGGGATCCTGGAGAGAATTTAGTCCAACCTGCTGGCTTCTTGAGGTCACACAGGTAGGAAATAGCTTCGCACATCATTGGCACTTAGTAGATGTTTGCTGACTTGAATAGAATTGAAGAGGTTACTATCTCCTAGGGAGGATGTAACATATGTACAATAAATTTCATATAGTGTAGAATGTAGAATGTGATAAGGGCCAAGGGACGATCCAGACAAAGCATTGTAGGGAAAATCTGAGCAGTAAAAGACCACCTGTGTGACTTCCTGCTTTACTTTTCTCACCTCAGTTTCTGTTTCTAGATAATATAAAAGGAAGGAATCATTCTAAATCATTTCAAAGTTACCTTCAAGTTATAAACCTATATGCCTTTGAGCCTTTGAAATTTCAGCTGGGAAAATCAGGAAAGGCAGTTAACCTGGTTTCTTTGGAAGTGAAGGTTCTCATCAGCAAGTAGGGATGAGGAGGGAGTGCATTTTGAGGTACTGGGTGTGGCCTATGCAAATTACACAAAGATGGCAGAGGAAAAAGAATGACAAAGAAACATCTAGTAGTCCAGTAGGACTATAAGAGAAAAAGTGAAGGCCATGTGAGAAATAAGGTAGGAAAACTAGGGAGGCAGCATAGTGCAGTGGAAAGAATATTGAACTGGGAGTCAAAAGACCCAAGTGCAAATCTCAGTTCTTTTTGGCACATGTCTAACTGTGGTAGAACTGGGCATGTACTATTTAGTAATTTTTAGCTTATAATTTCAAGTTGCTTTCCAAAACGGTTGTATCTTTTCATAGGGCACCATGTACCTGTTTCTCCACAGCTCCTCCAAAATTTGTCACTTCTCTTTTTTGTCATCTTTTTTACTCTAATGGGTGTGAGACGGAATCTCAGAATTGCTTTAATTTGCATTTTTCTAGTAGTGATTTGAAACATTTTTTTTCATATTGCTATAGATAGCTTGCATTTCTTTTTTTAAGAACTGCCTGTTCATATCTTTAGACCATTAATCAAATGAGGAATTGATTTTTATCTCATAAATTTGAATCAGTTCCTTATACATCTTGGAAATGAGATTTTTATCAGAGAAACTTGATGCAAAGTTTTTCCCCCCAGTTAATTTTCCTTTTTAATCTTCATTAATTTTGTTTATTAAAAATCTTTTCAATTTATGTAATCAAAATTATTTTATCTTACGCATTGCTTGTTTAGTCATGAACTTTTCTCCTATCCATAGATCTGGTAGATATGACCTATGATGAAAAATGCTATTATGTCCCATCAGGGACACGACAGATTTAGGGTGCAGATTAAGACAGACATATTTTTGTATATAGCCATTGAGGAAATTTGTTTTGCTTGATTATACATATTTGTTACACAGAAATGTATTTTTCTTTTTCTTTTTTCATAATGATGTGGAGAATATAGATTTCTATTAATTTTTTAAAAGCAGAGAAGTGGGATGCTGCAGATGTGAAATGTTACTTTGTACTTTCAGATGAAGTCACTATATTGTTAGTTTTGCTTAAATGTTTTACTTTGTTATAAGATCTCTAATGAAACGGGAGTAATCTGTGGATATCGGTAATGAAAAAAAGCAAAGCACATTGATATAATATGCCAGCCCTGCTACTTAACTACTTGTGTGACTTGGATAAAGCGTCTAACTTCCCTGGGCTTCAAGTTTTTCATCTGCATATTCAAAGGGGTTGAACGGGATGATCCTTAACGTTCCTTCCAATCCTAACTCTATGATCCAAAAGACCCAAGAGTTTGGAGGCAACATGTCATTTATTCGTGTTCGACTCTTCATGACCCCATTTGGGGTTTTCTTGGCAGAGATGCTGGAGTGGTTTGCCATTTCCTTCTTCAGCTCATTTTACAGATGAGGAAACTGAGGCAAGCAGAATTAAGTGACTTGCCCAGGGTCACACAGCTAGTAAGCGCAGCTGGATTTGAACTCAGGTCTTTCTGACTCCAGGCCTGGCACTCTATGCACTATGGTGCCACCTAGCTGCCAGTTTGGAGCCAAAATGTGGGAAACTTTAAATGCCAGGCTAAGGATTTTTTTTAACAAAATTAAATTAAATTAAAAAAACAACTTTTTATTTTATCTTTGGATTCTGAACTAGTAATACTGGAAAGAAATATATTTATCTCCACACCTGGAGGATGTTTGAATGTAGAAAGAGAACATAATTGGCCTTTATGCTTTGAAAGTTAAATGACAGGATTTGTAGTTTTAAATGTGGGCTGGAGAGACTACTTGACGCAGGGAAACACAAACCAGACTGAAAATTTAGGCCTGTTTATTGCCATTATCATTCACTCCCAGAATCAGAAAAAAAATCCTTGGAAGACACCAGATGCTTGCATTGCTTTGTTGCAAAGGGCTTATTTTTCAGAGGTAGAACCAATCCTTGGGCAAATAAGGCTATACCTAAAACTCCACTGTGATAGTCAGGGCTCTGATGTTCCACACAGCACCCACAATTTGTATATGCTTTCTATATGAGTCATTTCCTTCTTCAGGGAAAATCGTTTGAAGAAGAATAAAGACCTATTTGTCCATGCTACTTGAGAGTGGAAAAAAAAAACCTGATTGCATTGTATGGAAATCTTACTCAGAACAGCCTGAATACCAGCAGTTCTCAGAAATGTGATCACATTCATTCATGTTCTTTGGGTAGGCAATGAGTGCCAAACTTGGATTTCTTAGGGGAAAAAAGATGATTTTTTAAAAAATCCTTAGAAAATAGTAGTAGTAATAATAATGGTAACTAACAATTATGTAGCATTTACTATATTCTAGGTACTATGTTAAGTCCTTTACAATTATTATCTCATTTGATCTTCAAAACAATCCTGGGAAGTGCTATAGGATAGAGTAATTTGCCAGGAAAGTATGGGGTCAGATTTTGTCTCTAATACTTATTTGCTATGTGACTGTAGGCAAATCACTTACCTTCTGCCAACCTGAGATATCTTTTCTATGAAAAGGGAATAATCATATTGGTAATATCTACCCTATAGGGTAGTTGGTTTTATTTTTCCTTTTTGTTCAATTAGGAAGGAGGTATGGGAGGGAGAGAAAAATAAATTCTTGTTAATTGAAAAAAATAATAAAATTACATTTAAACTATACTATTCTGTAGAAAATTAGACAAATTACTCTATCCTATAGCACTTCCCCCCAAAATATAGGAAGCTGAATTCACTTTGCACCAGTTTATACAAGATTTTCCAAATTTGTCTGAAAACATTCATGTTATTTCTTATTGCACATATAGGATAGACCCAGGTGCTATTATTATCTACATTTTACAAATGAGGAAACTGAGGCAAACAGAAGTTAACTGACTTGCCCAGGGTCACCCAGCTAGTAAATGTCTGAACTTATTTGGACTCATCTTCCTGACTCCAGGCCCAGTGCTTTATCCACTTTATCTACTGAACAACCTAGCTTTACAAAGCAAAAAGAAGAGGAAATAGAAATTTGACATTATATAAAGTAAATAGAAAGAGAAAAAGAGGGACAAAGAAAATAAGGTAATTTATTATTCTCTTTAGAGGAAGAAGAGAAATATATACATACATGTAAATATTTAAACATAGTAAAGAGATTTTTCTAGCAATCAGGTCAAGAATATTTTTTTTTCAGTGAAATAAATGAAACTGAGAGAGAAAATCTAGCACCTGACACCGAAACATCTTGCTGGGTGTGCATTGTTTATAAGAGGCTCAGAACTGTTTCACTGGCATAATAGATTTGTACATATCTTGCCTGCCTGCCTGCCTTCACACTCCTCTGCCCCACCATGGGAATCAGGAAGTTGCAGCTGCTCAGTGATTCAGGAGGACAGAGCTAGATTAAGGGAAAGAGAAGCAATGATAGTACCCAGAATATTAGTACCAAGTATATTGTCAGCACCAAATAAAGCACTCTACCTTCTTCTTTCATTGTCATCAAGGCAAAGAAAACTGCTATCTTCTATCCTTTCATAATTGCAGCAATAATCACCACCTTGTTCTCTCATGAGTATCCTTAGTGTTCATTTCATTCATATTTCATATGTTTAAAAATGTAGTCAAAGAAGGAAAAGTTACTCATGTTGTATGATTTACTCTTCATCCTTGAGCTCTCTCTGGGATACTTTTAAAGAATAGTATAGTTTAAATGTAATTTTGTTATTTTTTCAATTAACAAGAATTTATTTTTCTCTCCCTCCCATACCTCCTTCCTAATTGAACAAAAAGGAAAAATAAAACCCTCACGGCAAATATGTACCACTGGCCAAGTATAATATATATTTCAGTCTACATTTTGAGTTACCTCTCTGTCAGGAGGTAGGTAGCATGTTTCATCTTAATTCTTCTGGAATTATGGTTTGTCATTGCATTGCTCAGAGTTCCAAAGTTTTTCAAAGTTGTTTTTCTTGGTAATGTTGCTGTTATTGTATAAATTGTTCTCCACTTCTACTGAATTCACTTTGCACCAGTTTATACAAGTTTTTCCAAATTTGTCTGAAAACATTCATGTTATTTCTTATTGCACAATACTCTTGCATTATATTTTTTCATCTGTTGCCCAAGAGGTGAGCATTCCCTTTGTTTCCATTTTTGCTATTCTGAAAAGAGTTGCTCTAAATTTTTTTTGTGCATATAGGTCCTTTTCTAGGAGTAATATGGTTGGATCAAAGGATATTTACAGTTTAGCCAGGCGGTAATTTCTCCTGGGCACTGTTGGATACATTAGGTCCCAAGATGAAGCAGCATTTGACATATCTCAGCAGCAAAAGAGGAAGAACATAGCTGATTTCCAGATTGGGTTTTGAGAAGATTGCTTTTCTGAATATGTAGCTAGAGAACATGTTGTGGGATTCTGTTCATAAAATTTCACATATTTCCTCTCTTTTGAATCCTGCCATCTGCTCAGGGCAGCACAGTACAAGCAACACATAGATCTGACCCAGGAAGGGCTATCCATCTTCTTTGATGGATATGAAAGCTACATGCCTCCCTCCCTCAAACTTTTATTTAACATCGTTCTGGTTCTAACCACTCCTGTAATTTGGACCAGAGTGTAAGACAAGAGACAATTAGCAAAGGGGTTTCTGAATCCCTTTAAACTATCATCAGTTACAGGGTTGGGTTAGGTGTTGGGAAAAGAGACCAGAACATATCAGAGCTATCTCTGATATGGCAACTGTAGGAGAAATAACAATGTAAAAGACAGAAATGTTATTGGACACAATCAGCTTTAAATATGTGTAGAGACCCTGTTGGAATATCTGGCATGCCCTGTTATCCTCATAACTATTGTGTGAAAAAAGATAGAAATAACCATTTCAAAAGTATTTTAGTTCATTCTTTGTATAATTTAGCTCATTCTTCTTAGTCATTCATTTTCAGTAATTTAGTTCATATTTAATTTAGTTCATTCTTTGTTTATATCTCACAACAGTTCTGAAGTATTTTCCTTTTTCTTATTAGACCGAGGGAAGCCCAATAAAATTCATAGGCATTAAAACAAACTTAATTTTCTATCCTGAGGGTACATTTCTGGTACTTGAAAAGGAAGAGCCTCTCATAAGACATTAGGAAGCCAAATTGGATTTAGTTCCATAAAAATATGATTCCTATAGATAGTGCAAAGTGGTTATAACATTTTATTATATTTTTAATTATCCCAAGATTAGGTAAAGCTGAATTTTGAGGATATCCTTAGAACCTCTTTTCAAAAACCATATAGGTTTTACCTTGTTACTTCTTACTATGTCTCCTCAATGTGAATAAAGTAATAGGGTTCTCCCCTCTGCATTTTTTTTTCATTTTAGAGATAGAGAAATTGGAAACTAAAATTACTTGCCTATGGTCAAATAGAAAACCCACTATTTTCTCAGGAATCAAGAGCTTCTGCTTTCAGGTTCACCAGATCGAACAAACCACTTTGTAACAACTTAACTACAGTTTTCTTAACAGGAAGGTTTATTTTGTTGATTCTGATTACCCTCCAGGGGATTGTAAAACAGCAAGGGTTAAAATCTGGTAAAAATCAAAGTAGAGAAAGAAAAATACTGCTCACATTTGATAAGCATTCCCTCTTTGACGTCACGTGGACAGAGCCAGGTGTAGGACTTTGTTCTGATTTGTGCAGAGAGATCTCAGCAGGAACCTCCAATTATCTTCATTAATAATCATAGCTCACATTTATGTAAAGCTTTAAGGTTCACAAAAGGCTTGAAGTACCTCACGAAATAATATCTTTACAATCAGTCTGGGAGGTAGAGCTCTTATCCCATTATAATAAGTAAGGAAATTGAGGAACAGAAGTCACTCAGTCAATATGTGAGGTAGAATTCAAACCCAAGTCCTCCTGACTTGAGGTCCAGTTCTCTATTATTCACTATAACCAGAAACTTTGAGATCAAAACCTTGAGGCTGTGATTCCTTCCTTTTCCCCCTTATTGTATTAAAGACTTTCCTATATGAATATCTGAACACTGGATTTGAAAAACAGTATACCACTGGGTTGAGGACACTGTTGAGATAGGTGAAGCTGTTGGTGACATCACATGTATGAACCATCACCTGAAGAGTCCAGCAGCTTTTTGACCTTTGGAGGATGGTCATGAATATCCTAGCCAGAAAGCTGGGCAGAAAGCAAATCCCAAAGAGCACCACCACTATGGTGACTAACACCATAGACTTTTGAAGCTTGGGCTGTTTGTCTTGATCCCGGAGCCGCTGTTGGAGTATCTTAATGATGCGAATGTTGCAGAACAGGATGAGACTGAAGGGAAGAAGGAATTGAAGATAGAACACCACCTCCTGCCAAGTGCTGCCAAAAGTAATATCTTCCATGGGGTAGAAACTGTGGCACTCAGTGGCATTCTTCTCAATCATGGAAGCCACCAGGCTTGGGTGAACCAGTCCCACCACCAGAAGCCAGACTAAAGCAGAGATGATCTTGGCCGCCTGAGTTGAGAAGCTGTTGATCTTGAAACGAGGGTGGACCACCCTGAGGTAGCGATCCAAAGCCACTGCAGTGAGGAAAGCAATGCTGCTGGTCCTGCTGAGGGACAGCAGGAAGGTCAGGATGCAGCAAGCTGTCTGTCCCAGGTCCCATTTCTTGTGCATGAGATAGAAAGTGATTTGGAATGGCAGGCACACAGACCACAAAAGGTCCGCAATGACCAGGTTGAGCAAATAGACCGCATATGGTTTCCACACCTTTAAGTTAGAAGTAAAAGACCACAGGGCGATTGCATTGCCCAGTAGTCCGAGTACAAATTCCAGGATCAGCAAGGTGGCTATAGAGATCTCGACCAAGCTGTTATGAAGAGAGCAGTTCATGGGTGTCATTTCTCTTCTCCTGCTGCTGCTGGCTGGTACTCAGAAGTGACCAAATAAAGGGAAATTAACCTCTGGGCTGTATCGATTCCCACAGCATGAAGGGGATAGGTGGGAAGAGGGGGGCAGGGGAGGAGGGGAGGATGTGTGTGGGGGGAGGGGGGAACTGCGCTTTTCTATTCTACCACGGACAAGTTTTGCATTTCTTAGGCATGGAAAGATGCTGAATGAACTGGAGGACAAATTCAAAAGTAAACTAAGATCCTTGTATGAAAAAAAAAATCAGGAAATAAGCCTGCTGTGATGGCTTTTTTTCTTTTAAAAAAAGGGAAATTTTGTTTCATTTTATATCATGCCGCACAAAAACAACAACAAAAAAGGTTAAGGCTATAAAGAATTCTGTGAATATTGCAGCTGTTGAATAAGCAAAGTGGAAAATTTCAGCTTCATGAAAATTGCATCCTCATAATGTAGACACGGGACCCTGGCTTTGTAAGAAAAAGAAACATAGGTGCCAAATGCCACACCTAGCAATTTCTAAGTTTATTTTGTCTTCTTTTATCAGACTTTTAACTTTCCCTCTGAATGTTTCCCCATTTACTGTCCATATCAAACGGACTGTTGGCTGAAGGACAAAACTGATGTGGGGCTTAGGAATATGTTAATATTTGATTAATAACCATAAGACCTAATGTGTATGTGTGTGTGCATGTGTAAGTGTGTGAAATGTAATCCTCTGATGAGTCAGAGAACCTTTTGTCTTTAGCCTCTCTCTAGGTCTAGTCCAGCCTGTTCCTTGTCCGATTTCTTATTCTTCTTGCCTCTTTTCTCTGCTTTTCTAGTCTTCTTACACTTCACTGACCTCCACATACTCTCCAATACAGTGACATTGGCATCCTTGCTATTTCTTGAATGTGATACTCCATCATTCGTAACTGGAATATTCTTTCTCCTCATCTCTACGTTGTTGCCTTGGCTTCCTTCAAGTCTCAGCAAAAGGAATACGTTTTGCAAATAGCCTTTCCCAATCCCCCTTCATTTTAGAACTTTCTCTCTGAGACTGCCCCAATTTATTCTGTATAAATCTTGTTTGTAGGTAGTTGTTTTCATGTTGACCCCTCCATTAGACTGTGAGCTTCTTGAGGGCAGGGACTGTTTTTCGTCTTTCATTGTTTCCCGATGTTTAACACCATACATGGCAAGCACATGCAAGCATTGAATAAAGGTTAGTTGACCTGATTTGACTTGACTTAAACTCATCTCAATTTTTCCTCTGATCTCCCTTTGGATGACTATCCATGAAACTCCAGAAAGACCTATAATAGTTAGGCAGCTTGTTTGCACAACAAATTAGAATTTCAATTGTCCCTGACTCAGATGACACTACTTCTCAGAGTTTTACCATCTTAAACTATTAGTTTTGTAAATAATGTAATGCTTTTAAAAAAATTCTTTAATACCTCTTACTTTCATATTTTGCCCTAATTCCTCAACTCTGCCAGCACCAATCCTCCATTATAACTATCAAGAACAATCAAATAAAAGCAAATTCTGCAACCCCCACATGTTTGCGTGAGGAGGTTCCTGATTCCATAGAACCTTTCTGTCCTCTACAAAATGGAAGAAAGTGTGTTTCATTATCTATGCTTTGGAATCACGATTGATGATTGAATTTAATCAGAACTCAGCTGTCTTTCTGTTATTGTTGTCATTGTGTATATCAGTTTCTTAGCTATACTTTCTTCTCTATTCATCATTTCATATAACTCTTCCAACATGTCTCTGAATTTCTCCTATACGTGATTTCTTATGGCATGACAATATTTAATTAAATTCACGTGCCACAATTTAGTAAGCCATTCATCAACTGAGTAGCTTGTTGTTGTTCAGTCGTTTCAGTTGTGTCCAACTCTTTGTGACCCCATATTGTAGTGGTTTGCCATTTCCTTCTCTAGTTCATTTTACAGATGAGGAAATGAGGCAAATAGGGTTAAGTGACTTGCCCAGGGTCACACAGCTAGTGTCTGAGGTTGGATTTGAACTCAGGTCTTCCTGACTCTGGGTCTGGAAATGTATTCTCTGCACCACATAGCTGCCCTCAATTGATTGGAACCCACTTATATTCTAGGTTTTTCATATTCGTTTTTGCTACCACAGAAAGTGCAGCTGTGAATAGTTCGGTGTATATGAAAAGTCTCTTTCTCTCTTTGACATGTTTTGGGTACATGTCTAGCAGTGAAATTACTGGGTCAATGGATAAAAATAGTTTTCTTGCATAATTCCAAATTGTATTTCAGTGCAGACTATTGTGACAGACTGATGATGGTTGGTCTCCTAGCTTCAAATCTCTCTTCACTCTAGTCCATTTTCTAATCAGTTGCCAAACAGATCTTTCTAAAATGCAGATCTGACTGACCATGTCACACCACTCTCCCCTACTAAATAAACTCAGATGACTCTCTCTAACCTCTAGGATCAAATAGAAGATATTCTGCTTGATTTTTAAAGCTCTTTACCTGACTCTTCCTAGCTTTCCAGTCTTCTTACCTTTCAGTCCCCTTGACTTTCTTTATAATCCAGTGAGACTGGCTTTCTTGCAGTTCCTTGAACATTATGCTCCATTTTGGTCTCTGTGCTTTTCCCCTGGCTGTTACCCATGCATGGAATAGTCTCTCCTTTTGCCTCCTGGATCCCGTAGTTCCCTTCAAAACTCAATTTAAATCCTACCTTCTGCAAGAGACAGAACTGGATTCCTACTGCCTTCCCTCTGACATTGCCTCTCATTGGTACTGTAATATATTTTGTGTATACCTAGTTGTTTGCATATCATCTCCTTCATTAGACTGTGAACTCCTAGAGAGCAGAGACTTTTTTTTTTGCTTTTCTTTGTACACCTAGCACTTAGCAAAGTACTGGGCACGTTGTTGTCATTCAGTTGTTTTTCAATTGTGTCTGACTCTTCATGACCCAGTTTGGGGTTTTCTCCAGTTCATTTTAAAGATGAGGAAACTGAGGCAAACAGGATTAAGAGACTTGCCCAGGATCACATAGCTTGACTTTTAAAATATCTGAATAAGTAAGTAGGTAAGTAAGTATCTGAGGCTGTATATGAACTCAGGAAGTTGAGCTGTCCTATAACGGGGCACATAAAAAGTGCTTAACAAATGCTTATTGACTGAGAGAACAGTTGGATCAATTCATAGCTTTCCCAATAGTATATTACTGTACCTGATTTCCCACAGCCTCTCCAGCACTGATAATTTGTCTTTTATCGTCTTGCCAACTCAGTAGATGTGAGTTGGAACCTCAGATCTGTTTTAATTTGTATTTTCCTCACTAGTGAGTTGGAACATTTTTTTTCCTGTGTAGGTTTTTGAGAGTTTACAATTCTGTTGAAAACTTGCTCATATCCATTGCCCATTTCTCTATTGGGAAAAGGACTTTGCATTTTCATATTTGTGTCAACTTTCTATATACGTTGAATGTCAGACTTTTATCAGATATGTTTGATATGAAGATGTTTCCTTCATCTTCCCCACCCCTTGAAAGCTTCTTATTCTGTTTGCATTGATTTTGTTAGTGAAACAACTTCATTTTAAGACTTCTTTTTATTAGAAAGTCTCAATCCTGTCTGTCTTATATATAAAATATTTTAAGTCCCTTTCCTTAGCATTTGAATCTTTTCCTTTGTACTTTTGATTTTCTTAGACTTTCCATTTTCTACTGGAATGCCTCCCCATTTACAGCCTGTGTCACCAAGTCTTGCTTCATCTCTTGTAAGGACAGAATTGGAGAGTTCTTCACAAGTCCCAAATCATGGAAATAATCCCAAAATAACGAGCCAACCTCTTTTAATGGTGAATTTGCCAACATTATATTCATCATCCAATAGGTCCTCAGGAAATCCAGAAGAAGGAATAGAGCCTCAATTTCCAGGTAAGTAATGCCATGGGGATTACCTTGTCCCTCACTGCTGAGAAAAAATATTGTAAGAAACAATCATAGACAGTATGGATAAGGGATGAATTCTTCCAAATTATAGGGGCAATTTCAAAAGATAAAAACAAACAATTTTGATTACATGAAAATGAAATGCTTTTGCACAAAGTCAAAGAATCTAGTCCAAGAAGGAAAGTAGTTGACTGAGAAAAATCTTAGTATTAGATATCTCTGATAAAGGATGATATACAAGATGTGTAAATAGCTAATAGAAATATACAAGACCAAAAGTCATTTCCCAATACATAAGTGATCAAGAATATGAACAAATAGTTTTCAAAAGAATTACAAACTAATAATGGCTACATGAAGAAAATGCTCCAACTCATTAATAATAAGAGAAATGCAAATCAAAACAACCCTGAAGCTTCACCTCACACCTGACAAATTGGAAAGATGACAAAAGTCAGGAAAAGTCAATGTTGGTGGGACAGTGGAAAGACAGACAGAGGAATAAATTGTTAGTGGAGCTGTGAATTGGTATAGCCATTCTGGAAAGCAGTTGGGAATTATACAAATAAAATGATTAAAATATCCCTATTTTTCTTCGCCTGGTCAATATAGGAATAATATTTACACCGAGAGGTAGCCATGGTACAGTGAATAGAGAGATGGCTTTGGAGAAAGGAAGACTGTTTCATGTCCCATCTTTGACTTATGCACTATGTGCCAGTCATTTATTCTCTCAGTGTCCCAGGAAACTAAGACTAACAAATGTGCATTGGTAGACAGGGTTTCCTCATTGGGAGTGACTACCTTGAGGCAGCTAGGTAGCATAGAGCACTGGGCCTGGAGCCAGGAAGATCTGAGCTCAATGCACTTATTGTCTTTTCCCTTCTCATTTGTTCTTAGTGATCATAAGATAGTCACTTTTTTAAGGTTAAGAATATAATCCACTTTAATCTCTCCTTCCATTTGGATTTCAATATCAGGGCCATTGCTAAGCTCTGTAATTTTTCCTCTTATTACTGATAGCTCACATTTCTATAGAATTTCAAGGTTTACAAAGTACTTTTCACGCATTATTTCATTTGAGCCTCATAGCCACCCTTTGAGGTAGAAGCTATTATTATCATCCGTTTAACAGATGAGAAAACCAAGGATCAGAGAGGATAAGTGATATGACTGGATCATACAATTAATAAACATCAGAGGTGAGATTCAAACTCAGGTTTTCCAGATTTCAAGTCCCAACACTTTCTCCTCTATGCCACCTTAATGTATCTGTGCTACTTTTGATGGGTTCCTCAATCCAAATGCTAGTCACCTCTCACTTCTATCTACTGAGTTTAAGAAGGAATGAGAAATGGTTATTAAAATCTTTTTTTAAAAAGGGAACAAGTGGGGCAGTCAGGTGGTGCAGTGGATAGACCTCCCACCTTGGAGTCAGGAGGAACTGTGTTCAAATCTGACCTCAGACACTTGACACTTAAGCAGCTGTGTGACCTTGGGCAAGTCACTTAACCCCGATTGACTAGCCAAAAAAAATGGGGGGGGAATTAGGTAATTCTCAAGGCCTACAGAAATAAGGCAGCATGACAAAGAGTCTCATGATAATACTGTCTTGAATTTCCTCATTTGGGTAAGAGAGAAACCAGTTCAGCAGCATCTGACTATTGCTGCAACACAGATTTAAAAGAAAGATTTATTTACTAAAAATAATACTGAATTCCATCAACTAGAAATTATTGAACTGATTTTTCTATTGTCTTATAGGAACTAATATTTTTAAAAGAAAATGAAAGGTAAATGTTAGAAACGAAACTCTAAATGGTATTAAAATATGCAATAAGCCTTTTGGTAAGCGAACTATTTCTTTCAATATAGGATTAGAGTTTCAAATTCAATGTGAGGGAGAATCCCTAAGTATATCTTACAGAGAAGATACTCAAGAAGATTCCAAAAAACAGAAGCAAAAGTCAGTTACGTGTTTTGGTAAACATGCACAAAATCATTTACCCTAAAGGACACTTGGAAGCTTAATTTATGCTAATGGGAAACCAGCACCATATTGGTTTTCCAGGACAAATGTATTCTGTGCTATTTCTTTCCCCTTGAAGTTAAGTGCTTTCAGAATGTGAGCTTCTTGAGAGTAGGGTCTCTTTTACTTATCTATCTGTCTCCCTGACAGCTAGGTGGTACAGTAGATAGAGCACTGAACTTGGAATCAGGAAAACTCATCTTCCTGAGTTCAAATGTGACCTGGGACACTTACTAGCTGCGTGACCCTGGGCAAGTCACTTAACCCTGTTTGCCTCAGTTTCCTCATCTTTAAAATGAACTGCAGAAGGAATGGCAAATCATCCCAGTATCTTTGCCAAGAAACCCCAAATGGAGTCATGAAGAGTTGGACAGGACTGAAAAACAACTCAACAACAATTTGTCTCCCCCGCTATCAGCATAATGTTTTGCACGTAGCTAGACTTAATGAATGCTTCATTCATTCATTCAATGTCAATTCAATTCTGACTTCCTCTGTCAGTTGAAATTGGTTCTAATTGTTACCTCCAATCTCTCACCTCCCATTTCTTTTCTAAGCATCACCTATGCACTGACCGTACCCTTCTCCCCTCCACATCTTGATCTTTTGATGAAACTGTTCAACTATATACCATCCTCTTCCCTCCATCCCCTGCCTCTTATACTATTGGAGATTTCACCCTGTAAAACTTCAACTTTGGATTATTCCCACATTTGCTGACTTTCTTCCCATTTACCTGCTACTGAATAAGGCTCAAGAAAATCACAAAACTGTTTTGAATAAGTCCACTACAAATTTATGTTACATAATCTCCGTGGGGCCTTCACTGTGAAAAGACGATTTTTGTACATCTTCCTAATTCACTATTCGGCTCACCACAGTGGCTTTTCCAAACTTTTTCATGCTTCCTCAAACCTCCCATGGATTCCCCTCCCTCTACCCTCTTAGCTGTGAGCCTTGCCCTATATTTCACTGAAAAAAAATGAGTTATTCATCAAGAACTCCTTCTCCCCTGCTCCTCATCTCACAGAAGCCTTCTGATACTATCTCCTTCCTCCTTCACCCCTGCCTCAAATGAAGGAAGGAAACAAGTATTTGTAAAGCACCTAGTATATGCTAGGCACTGTGCTAAGTGCCTTTACAACCATCTCATTTTATCTTCACATCAACTCCGGGAAACAGATGCTATTATTATTCCTTTTTTTGTAGTTGAAGAAACAGATACACAGAAGTTGTTATTTGCCCAGAGTCACATAGCTAGTAAGTCTCTGAGACCAGATTTGAATTTCCTAACTCCAGACCCAGAATTATATCTACTGTGTCATCTAGCTTCCTGAAGAGATGGTCCTTTTCCCTGTTAAGGCAAAACCCTCTACAAGCACAAGTGATTCTCATCCTGTCCCGTCTTTTCCTGAAGAAACACTTTAGTAAGTCATTGAAAAACCTTTCTCAGTCTCAGTATCTTCATCTTTATATTGATATATCCCATCACATATGGTTGCTCTTTATTACATGTGTTCTCACTCATCATGATACAAGTGTAAAGCCAATGAATTCCAATCTAATGAGTTCCCCAGTCAATTTGAAATTTCAGGGCGTATGAAGTGTTCCACAAGTATCACTTCCTCTTGCTACCTGATTATCATTCCTTTATGCCACTTCTCTGGCAGTTCCTTCTTCGTAGTGTGTTGCAGTCTGCTCACACTCATCATCTATCTTTCCATTGCCCTTTGAGTGATCATCGCTAGATGGTGAAGTGGCTGGAACACTGGGCCTGGAGTTGGGAAGACCTGAGTTCAAAACTAGCCTCAGACATTTACTAGCTGCTTGACCCTGAGCAAGTTATTTAACCTCTTTCTGTTTCCTCAACTGTAATATGGGGCTAGCAATAGCACCTACCTCCAAGGCTGTCATGAGGATCAAATGAGATAATATTTGTAAAGCAAGTTGCACAGTGCCTGGTACATAGTAGGTGTTTAATAAATGCTTGTTCTCTCCCTCTTTTTCATGAACTTTACTTCCTTGGAGATGTGTATTCCATGACTCAGAGCCATACAGGATCATGTTGTTAAAAATGGGACTATGGATATGAACAGGCAGTTTTCAGACAAAGAAATTGAAGCTATCTATAATTGCATGAAAAAATGCTCTAAATCACTATTGATCAGAGAAATGCAAATTAAACCAACTCTGAGGTACCACCTCACACCTATCAGAGTGGCTAATATGACAGAAAAGAAAAATGATAGATATTGGAGAGGATATGGGAAAAATGGGACACTAATGTACTGTTTGTGGAGTTGTAAACTGATCCAACCATTCTGGAGAGCAATTTGGAACTATGCCCACAGGGCTATAAAACTGTGCATACCCTGTAATACCACTATGAGTTCTATATCCCAAAGACATAAAAAAGTGGGGGGGGGGAGGACCAATTTGTACAAAAATATTTATAGCAGCTCTTTTTGTGGTGGCTAAGAATTGGAAATAGAAAGGATATCCATCAATTGGGGAATGGCTAAAAAGCTGTAGTATATGATTGTAATGGACTTTTATTGTGCTATAAGAAATTACAAGCAGGATGATTTCATAAAAACTTGGAAAGAATTACATGAACTAAAGCAAAATGAAGTGAACAGAACCAGGAGAACTTTATACACAGTAACAGCAATATTGCTCAATGAAGAACTGTGAATAACTTATTCTCAGCAATACAATGATCCAAGAAAATCCCAAAAGATTAATGATGAATCATACTAGCTGCCTCCAGAGAAAAAACTGATATTATTTGAAAACAGATTGAAGCATGCTATTTTTCACTTTATTTCTTTCATTTTTTCGTTTATTCTTGTCTTCTTGTACAGAATAACTAATATGGAAATGTTATACATGATTGCACATGTATAACCTATGTCTGATTGCTTAGAGTCTCAGGGAGGGAGGGAGAGAAGGATAGAATTTGGAACTCGAAACTTAAAAAAAAACAAATGCTATAAAATTGTTTTAACATGTAATTGAAGGAGGGAATAAAGTATATTTTTAAAAATGGGACTTTGTTTTAGGGAGAAACTTGGGGTTACTTTTGAAAATAGCACAATTTCCCAAAGACAGTTCAGTCCTCTCTCTTCTTTCTTTTCAGTTCTGGGCTCAGCTCATTGTCCATTTACATTGTCTGTCCGAGATGTATGTACATATGTGTGTGTATGTATGTATGTGTGTATATATATATATATATGTACACACACAAACATATATGCAGACACACACACATGCATCTATATACCGATAGAATAACTTAGACTATCATAGTCTGTATAATAGAAATTTTTCATTCACTATGTGAAGAATTAGATTAAACATGTTTGAATGATTTTATCTTATTTGGAAAACTCTACAATATCCCAGGGCTTGATACAATCAGCATAATGCCATCTGCAAATAGGAACATCTGGAGAACCACACCATTCAAAGAGAATCACTCTACCATTTGGGTTTTGTAATGTTATCCTCCATAATGGTGATGGATCTCTTTGATGAGCATGTGTTTCTGTGTTTTATTCCTTACTTGATACTAATAATCAAGGGTTTGTTGAATAAAGAATCTCTGTTACATCTTTCAAAGAATCTTGTATGATGTTGAGCTATACTTGAGAAATACCCCGAAAGAAAGATCTGGTGTTTTTCCCTACCAAACCAAGTCCTTGGTTACAGTCAACAAACAGTAAACCCTGTGAGATTTTGTATTCTTGCAGTGTGATAGACTCCTAAGTAGTCTCCCTAACTGAAATTGCTTTCTCCAATCCATTCTCCACACAGCTGCAAAAGTGATTTTTCCAAAGTATAGATCTAATCATGTCACTCCCCTACTCAATAAACTCCAATAGTTCCTGACTGCCTCTAATATAAAATATAAGCTCTGCTGTTTAGTTTTGAAAGTCCTTAACAACCTGGTCCCATTCTACTTTTCTAATTTAATTCTGCATTATTCACTTTTCCAAACTCTAGCAACTAAATTTGCCCAATTGAAGGGTCTTACACAAGACACTCCATTGCCTATCTCTGTGCCTTTGTACTAGGTGACCCCCATGCTTGGAAGACACTTCCACCTTACCTCTACTTCTTATAATTTGTTTCCTTCAGAATTCTAATCAAGAAATATCTCTTACCCAAAGCATTTCCTGATCCCCTCTCCCTCCTGTTAGTGTTCCTGCTCCACCTAAAAAGATTACCTTGTATTAATTTTATATAAGTATATTTAGATGCATATCTCCCCAATAGAATATAAATTCCTTGAGGGCAGAGATTGTTACATTTTTGCCTTAATATTTTCAGTGCCTAGCTCAATGCCTGGCACATAATAAGAGCTTAATAATGCCTAGTGATTGATTGTTTTACCATATTCTTCAAATAATTGTTTGTAAAGATGTAGTCTATTGTCAAATATCATTTGTGAAAAATCTGGCTTATCTCATATTTTCATCAAGGAAACCCTCAGTGTGGGTGTAGATTTTCATAAATTCTTTTGTAGTGATAAAAAAGGTGGAATATGAGTTAATAGTTATTCTTTTGATTGCCATTTTGTGGTGGTAAAACAAACAAACAACTTACAATATATTTTCCTTTCCCTTTTTGGCATCTTCCCTTTCAGACACCTTAAGAACCAATCTCTTAGGATGTGGAAAAATAAGTACACTAATGCACTATTTGTGGAGTTGTAAACTGGTCTAACCATTCTCAAGAACAATTTTAAACTACACCCAAAGGTGTATAAAACTATGCATACCCCTTGACCCTAGCAATATCACTATTAGGTCTGTATCCCAAAAGAGCAAAGAAAAAATGAAAAGGACCTAAATGTACAAAAAATACTTTTAGCAGCTCTTATTCTAATGGCAGAGAATTGGAAATTGAGGAGATGCCCATGGCTGGACAAGTTGTGGTATATGATTGTCGTGGAATACTATTTTGCTATAAGAAATGGCAAGGGGGATGGTTTCAGAAAAACCTGGGAAGACTTATATGAACTGATGCAAAATGAAGTGAGCAGAAACAGGAGAGCGTTGTACATAATGACAGCAATATTGTAATGATGATCAACTGTGAAAAACAGCTACTCTGATCAATACAATGATCTAAGGCAATTCCAAAGAACTCATGATGAGAAATACTATCCACCTCCAGAGAGAGAACTGATGAACTCTCAGTGCAGATTAAAAGATAATTGTTCTTCACTTTGTTTTTCTTGCTTTTGGGAGGTTCTGTTTTGTAACATAGTTAATATGGAAACATTTTGCATGACTTCACTTGTATAATGGGTATCATATTGCTTGGCTTCTTAATGAGTGGGGGAAAAGCTGGAGGAAGGAGAGAATTTGGAAGTTAAAATATTTAAAAATCAATGTTAAAAAATTAAAAAATACACAAAAAGAACCAGTTCCTCAGCACCCTCAAAATTTTGTGTGTTCCCGGTATAGATCTCCTTTATGTATACTTGATCTAGTCCATGTACTTAATATAGTCCAGCTTCTTTTCTCATCTCTGTTTTCTTTAATGCCATTTCCATCTCCTTATGTAGCACATAGGGAGTTATGTTACAATTCAAAAGTGGTAGCTTTTTACTATCTTGGTGAAAAGAGTTCGTTATAAAATAGAAGCACAACTTTGTGATCATTTCCATTTCTAATCTATTATTCTTCAAATTTCATCCTCAAATTTCCATGGCATAAAGTTACTTTAATTTAAATACTTCTGAGTATACATTAGGTGCTCAATAAATACTTATTGATAGGGTAACTAAACTTACAGCTTCTGTATTTGTTATTAGATGATAACTCAGGAGAGGAAGAAATGCACCAAAAAATGTTGTCTCCTATTAAAGAAGATAAGGGTGAGCACACTGATAGCCAAATTCCTCTTTCTCCTTTTGGAGTAAGGATACATTCAAGAACTAGAAACATAAAAGAAAGGTAAGCAAATAAATTATTAGAAACATACTAGTAACCATGATACCTTAATGACTCACAAATAGAAAATCAAACCACAATGCACTAAACTGTAATTAGTAATGACTGTGGATGTGTTGTTTATCAGGTTTATCAAGTATTCCAGTTAATATATATAACATACCCATATTACTAATTTTCACAGAATGCCCTTCACATTAAACTAAAATATTTCATTTTTTTGATCATTCAGAAAGCATTAAAAGATTTTTGTAATCTTTCCATTTCTATTCTCTTTATAGTTACCTTTAAACTTTTCTTGGTAATTCTTCTCCCTTTCCTCCAACTAGTGTCCTATTTTTCTTCTTCCTTTCACTTCCAAACCTTTCAAATGAAGGATTTGCATTAGGATAATAGATTTAGAGTTGGAGCCTTACAGGTAATCTAGTCCATTCCTCTAAATTTACAGGCCCAGAGGAATCAAGTCTTTGCCCAAAGTAACAGAACTTGGAGTCAAATCCAGGTCCCCTGAACCCAAATCCAACTCTTTGTTTTTAGTTGATTTCTTGCCATTCACTCCTTCCTTTGATCATTTAACAATCTGGGTGCCATACCTAGCACCTTCTTTTGGAGAGCACCATTGATTGCCATTATCATCAAAATAATCCTTGACTCTGTCTTCATTTGTTTTGAAGTCTCTGGATCATTTGGTTCTGATGTCTCTCTTCTTCCATTTAAAACTATTCTTTTTTTTCATGTGTTGTCTTTTGGGATATGACAGAATTCTGGTTTTCCTAATACTTTTGATTTACTTTTTTTTCACAGGTTCCTCTCTTTCCTCTTTGCCCCTCCTTATGGAAATTCCCCAGATCTCAACCCTTAAACCACTAGTCCTTTCATTCTTTCATTTGGAAACCTAATTAGTTTCATGCCCTCAAGTTTATGGAGATGTCTCCCAAATCTCAATCTTTTTTGCACTTCAGCCTCATATTTCCAGACTGGTTACTGAATATTCCACTTGCATGTTTTATTATTAGTCCAAATTCAATGTGTCCAAAACTGAGCTCATTATACAAAATAAGATAACATATGTAAAATATTTTGCACTCCTTAAAGTGCTATGTAAATGAAGGCTAACTATAAAATCAACTGTTTCTCAAATTCCTTGCCACTTAATGGTATTAACATTCACGCATTCATGAAACTTTGTAATCATCACTGAATTCTCATTCTCTTTATACTCAGTCATTTATGAAGTCATGTTGATTTTTTTCTTTCAAATATTTTTCATTCTTATCTCTTCCTCTTCATTCTATTTTTCTTCATTATTTTCCATTTTGTTACTTCACTACTTCATGCTTCATTATTTCTCTGGTACATGCCTGAATTACTGCATCATTTTCTGGCTGCACCCTTCTTCACTTCATTTTTCAGTATTCTTTCAAGTATACCTCTTTTCTGATAAATACCTCATGCTTTTTTCCCCTTCTCATCTCTGTACCTTGGTTCAGGTTGTTCCCTTTGTTGGGGGTACCTTTTCCTCTCCTTTTTACTTCTGAAAATCTTCTCTACCCTTTAAGATGGAGCCCCAATCCCAGTTCCCCCATGAAACCTTCCATTATAGCCGTAGGGATCTTCCTCTTTTCTGAGCTCCTATAATTCATAATCTGTCACATAGTTTAGCACTTAATTCTGCATTGCTTTGTATTATCTCTAATTGATTCATGTGTATTAGTTGTTTCCCCAGCTAGGTTGTAGGTAACTTCCTTGAGGGCAGTGGTCATGCTTTGTCCATCATCTGTATCCCCCACAGTGTTCCACAGATAAGGACATTGTAGGAATTTCACGAAAGGGTTAAAATTTAAGAATGCCTTGAAGGACCATGCCATATCAATTGATGCAGCATATATTTTTATTCATAAATCAAAAAAAACAGAGATAAGATGACAATTTTTTATTTCAAAGTAAAATTATAATAAAATTTTTGCATTTGTTGAGATACCTGTTCTTTCTAGTATTAAGAAATACTTGCTTGGTTGATTAACCAAAATACTTTGGTTGATTAACCAAAGGACGGTAAATGTGTAGTAGTACTAGGTAATAATTCGCGATCATAAAATATATCAGAGACTTTATAAAGTAACTCTCTTTATTTTCTTTGTCTTTGAAAAAATAGAGACAAAATGTAGTCTCTAGAAATTGTACTACTTTGCCTCAAACAATATCCTTTTCTTTGTTAGAATGCACTGATCATTCAAAGGTTCTTTCAGGATAAATGCAGTGAGCTGCCTTCTGCAATGCAGAGGGATTCTGTCCTGTGGGCTCTTTTCTTGGTGTTTAGCATTCTGCATCATGGCACCAGCCTTGACATCATTTATTTATGCAATTACACACAATTATAGTACTGCCAGCTACTCTAGCATGTGCTGTGACATATTAAAATAATAACTACAGGTCTTTATTATGTTATTGAACAACCTAAGTATCATATAGAGTTCCTAGCCCGGTAGAAATTAGATTCTGAATTAGGTGAAACAATTTAGATTTGAGAATTAAATTAGAAGGTGGATTATCTGGAGGTTACTTGACAAATTGCACACTGTGACTGAGGTAGCAATTCTTTCTCTCCTCTTCCCATCCCCCATTGTCTTAAACCTTTAAGATAGGCCACAGGAGTTTTTTAAACCTTGAATTATCTTCTCTGTTTCAGTTTTTTGAAAAATAAAAACTAACAATACAGAACTATTAAACCATATTCCCTACTGGGACTGCGATTTAAAAGCTGAAATCAAATCCTTAATCTACTTATGCAGAGAAAGGGCTGCCTTTTTCTGTGACTTTTCCTCCTATCCCCTCTCCCTCCACAATAATTATTTAGATTTTGGCAGAATCTTTGGATACCATTTCTCACTCATCTCCCTATGTGCTTCCTAATTTAAATTGAGACAAAATCATAGATCACACAGTCATATTAGTATTAAGGAATTATTGAAGCTGTGTTAGTAAGAAATAAATTATTTAGCATCCTTCTATGGGGTTTGAATAGCTTCTGTGGAAAACTCAAGATTCTGCTTTGAAATCCTTTCCTTTTCTAACTTTCTGGATCTGTAGCTCCTCTGCCTGCAATCATAAAGAATATCAGTGAAGGGAGGAATACTATGTGGGGTTAACAGTGACAATCTGAATTTCTCTAGCAACCATTTATTTTTTTCTTCTTAATACTTTAATTTCAGAACAAAATAAACCACGATGCACAACATTCTGCTTTTCAGATCAAGGGAGAGGGAATAGGGACCAAGTAGGCCTTGCTTTAATACACTGAAGAACAGAAGGAAAAAATCCCACTTGACTCTGGCAGATGGAGCCAGGCAAGATAGGGCCCAATAAGGAAGCGCATAAACAAGCATTTATTAAGCACCTACTATTGCTAGGTACCATGCTGAGTATTGGAGATACAAAAACAAAAATGAAATGATTCCTGCTCTCAAGAATTTACGTTCTATCGGGAGAACCAACTGGCAATCCAGTCTAGTGGAAAGAACACTATTTCTAGTCAGAGGATCTAAATTCAAATCTGGTCTCTGACACGAAGCTTCAGACACTTCCCATTAGCTATGTGATTTTAGGCAAATCATGACTTCTGTCAGCCTCGTTTTCTTTAACTATCAAATGGGAATAATAATACCAACTCCCTCCCAAAGTTGTGGTGAGGATCAAATGAAATAATATTTGTAAAGTACTTAGCACAGTGGTTGGCATGTAGTAGGTGCTTAATAAATGCATGTTTTCTTCCTTCCCTCCTTATTATCAGTGTGATTATGGGTAAAACACTTAATCTTTCTGGTGCTCAGTTTTCACACCTGTAAAATGAGAAAGACTGGACTAGATGCCTTTGGAGACTTCTTCCAAGTCTAAGTCTATGATTCTGTGTACATTACCTAGCTGAGAGGTTAATAGATTGCCCCTTGATTCTCTTGATAGAATGTAAATTCTTGAGAGCAGGAATCATTTAGTTTTTGTTTTTGTATCTGCAATACTCAGCATGGTACCTAGCAAAAGTAGGTGCTAAATAAATACTTGTTTCCATCCTTCCTTATTAGGCCCTATCTTGCCTGGATCCATCTGCCAATAGATTAATATTCAAGGAAATATTGATGAAAGGGAAGAGATAGAAGAGTCTAGCACGCAGGGCTGCCTGTGCGGGAGGAGAGGCTGGATAGCCCGAGGATAGCAGGAAAGGAAATAAAATGTGTAGAGAGTGTCTGTGGGGCAGAGGCAAGGGGCAGGAAAGACCAATTTTCCCATTTACTGCATCTAGTATTTTTCACATTTTTAAGGACCCCAAAATGGCAAATCTAATTTCTTCCTTATTGCACTGATGAATCTTTCATTACTATTTCCTCTTTAGTAGAAAAGTAACATATTTCTTTACCTTAGTTGTCTTCACTAGTCATGCTATTATTGTAATTGTTAATTCTTCATCTTTCACTTTAAGAATCACCCAGTAAGACAAGTGTAACATAGAAGAAGCCATCTTCCCTCATGAACTCTTTCCCCAATAATTCTGTTTTGACCCATGTGCTGCCTCTGCTCCTGCTGAGTTAGCAAAACTGATTGTGCCCACACAGGAAGAGCAAGCATTTCAGTTTTTTTTACATGGTTTTACTTCCTCTTTCCTGACATAACATAGTTTTACCGGCAATGAATTTTATTTTCATTGAAAACGTTTAATGCTCTCAAAGCCTGTTAACTCAGAAACTTCTTATTTCGCCGTTGCTCTTGGTACCAGGAGCCCTGAGATAAGAGCCCTTGGCCAGCTTGCCCACTATGAAGGAGCATGGGAAGGCCCAGTCATGTTGCCAACATTACTTCATTTATAAGTAAATTAAGTGGTTTAGAGTGTTTTGTGTCGCCTACTCTAGCTTTGATCCCTCCACCAGCAAGTGGTCAAGCGTGGGAATCGAGTGAACCACACTCACTCCATCTTGTGACTCAATTCTGGAGCTAGCTCAGTTCCTTTTCTATTCAATTTTGAGTCTCATCCAAATTCTGTCTTGTGAGAAAACTTCATTCAGTTGTGGGAATTGGGAGAAAAACTTATTACATTGTTTGAACCTAGCTCTCTGTGCCTGGGAAACTGGACCACTCCTCCATGCTGCTTGGAGAACCTTAACTAAGGACTTAGGTTATGCTGACCAGAAACCCAGTCAGATCCCCAGACGGATACAAGGAGTTTTCTAGCAGTTATACATCTCAAGCAACTCATATGACTTATCTGAAAACTGGCCCTCATACTGATCAATCAGTTATTGTTTCCATGTTGCTTTGATTGTTTACAGACACCTGGGGGGAGTGGGACATCTATTCTTCTGAATTCAGGAAATTGCACCAGTTCATTCTCCCCCTCCCAACTTGGAAAGTCCCTAATTTTCATCCAATTAGAAATAAAATTTCCTAATATTATGTTGTTTCCTTTTAATTAATTGACTTTATTGGTTAAAACTTTTTAATGCATAAAAGTCTGTCTCCCCTGTATTTGGAGTCGGGGCTTAAGCTAAGGAAGGGGCCTGGTGCCAGTTTGGGCAATTAGCATGCATTGCTTAATAAATCTACATGCTTGGAAGAGCAAACCTTTGTTCACTCAGTCATTTCATCTTTCACCTACCGCAGTATCTTCTCCTTCCTACAGCTTTTTCCCCCTCAATACTCCTCCTCATCCCCACATATGTCTTTTTAACCTATTACTGAACTTCAGGATCAAGAAATCCTTGAACAAGCATTGAGAACTGGCCATTGCTATTAGAAGCTTTTGAGGGTTTTTTCAAAGAGTCATGGTAGAGTGGGCAGCCTCCGGGTTGTCTTCCTAGGTTGGAGCTTCCAGAAAGAGTAGAAGATAAGCCTTCTGAGGGGGAGGTCAGAACTTGACAGAGATAGGAGGGTGAGAGGGACTGATAGAAGATAAGCCCTTTGAGAGTAGGGATTGTCTTATTTTTTTTTTTCTATTTGTATTTGCTGGCATTTAGCACAATACCTGGCAAACAATGGGAAATATATATATGTATATATGTGTAAATGTGTATATACATACATGTATACATATACATATGTATGTACATATACACACACATACATGCATACATATGTTGGTTGGTGATTGATTGATAGGAAGAAAGAACAGGCCGAAAGGAAACAAAGCATGATCTATCCTGACCTTTTTCTCTCATTGACGTAAGGTCAGTATCATGACTTGTGACTGGGTCCTTGTCCAATCGTTCTTCTTTTAACAACACCAGCAACCCCCACACTTTCCTTCACACAGTGACAGACACATAGAAGGTACTCAGTAAATGCTTGCTGTCCCTCCTAACCCCATCCCTAATTGTTGATCTCTTCTGTGATCATTTTCCTTCTACTTTTTATATCTCTTATATGTATTTTGTTTAGTTGTTTCAGTCTTGTCTAACTCTTGATGACCCCATTAGGAGTTTTCTTGTCAAAGTTTTTAGAATGGTTTGCTGTTTCCTTCTCTAGCTCATTTTAAAGATGAGGAAACTGAGGCAAATAGAGTTTAGTGACTTGCCCAGGTCACACAACTAATAAGTATCTGAGGCCAGATTTGAACTCAGGAAGATGAGTCTTCCTGACTTCAGGCCCAGTGCTTTTCCTACCGTGCCACCTAGCTTTCTTATATGAATACTTGTTTTTATATGTATATGTAATTTCCCAGTTACAATGGGAACTTCTCAAGGGCAGGGATTGTATTTTTGCCTTTCTTTGTAATCCAAGCATTTGCCACAGTTACTCGCTGATTGACTGATTCCTTCAATCTTATTGGTTAGGAGTTTCGTTGTCTATAGCAGCTCTCTCTCTCTCTCTCTCTCTCTCTCTCTCTCTCTCTCTCAGGACTAGAAATTGTTGGGAAAACTGAAAAGGGAAGTGTCTTATCAATTAGAGAAAGACTGAACAAATTAGAGTATATTAATGTAATGGAATTCTGTAGTGCTGTAAGAAATAAGGAAAGTGATGCAGAATGGAAAGAATAGAGCAATTTTTTCAATAACAACATTATAAAGACAGCTTTGAAAGAAGTAGTTCCTCTAATCAGTATAATGGCCAACCAGCATTCTAGAAGATCAGTGATGAAGTCTGCATGCTGCTCACCTCTTGACAAAGAGGTGATGGAATCAAGCTGTATTGTGATATGTACATTTTTGTAAATGGCCAATGCAGGAATTTGTTTTGTTTGACTGCAGATTTATTACAAGGTATTTCCCCCAACCCCAGTAAAAGATGTGTGTGTGTGTGTGTGTGTGTGTGTGTGTGTGTAGAATGTGGAAAGGCAAGGAAATAAATGCTTGTTACTTGAAAAAAATTAGACTAGAGGTTACCTTAAAAAAAATGTAAGGCGTTTTTACACATTGATAAATCTCTCAGTGAAATTCACATCCTTAGGGAGGGCCTAACTGCAGTGTAGTTGGGGCCTCACACTTTAATCCTTACTACTTAACTTACTATTCAATCTGGTGACTCTGGCCTCCTGGTTGTTCCATGAACAAGACACTCATATCTTGACTTTGGGCATTTTCTCCGATTGTCCCTCATGCTTGGAATGTTTGTCTTCCTCACCTCCACTGATTGACTTCCTTTAAGTCTCAACTATAATCCCATCTTCTACAGGATACCTTTCCCAACCCCTTCTAATTCTATTGCCTTCCCTTTCTTATTTATTTTCTATTTGTGCTGAATATAGCTTGTTTGGACATATTTGTTTGCTTGCTGTCTCTCTCGTTAGACTGTGAGCTGCTTATGCCTGGTACAAAGTAGGTGCTTAATAAATGTTTATTGGGTGATAG